CACAGTTCATGGTAGTTGTATCATGGAAGTGGCCTATGTGTTCATCAGATGATTAAAGAAAATGTGTGTGTGTGTGTGTGTGTGTATGTATCTATCTATCTATCTATCTATATATATATATATATATATAGATAGATACATACACACACAATGGAGTTCTTCTCAGCCATAAAGAAGGATACATGTAATTTATATAAAAATAGATGGGTCACCTTGAGACCCTAAAACTAAGTGAAGTCAGTCACAAAGGATTAAATATCGCATGACTTTTCTAATATGAGATGCCCACAATATAAATGATCTGTAGAGCCAAATAAAAGAACCATGCTAAGAAATAGGAAAGTGTACTCTGCAGAGATGGGAAGGTGATCTGGGATAGGATGGATAGAGGAAGGTTATGAGGGATTAGGTGCAATAAAAATGATAAAGTGGGATCTGTATATAACAACCCCCAATCTGAAAGTGGTCATTATACACATACACATATATTAATAAAAATTTTAGAAAAAATACCCAAACCACAAAGTATAAATAAAAAGATTACTGTCTTTACAGTAAAAGAAGTAAATCAAGTGTTGAGGGCTTTCTCAAGGCCCTTGGATTAATCCCCAGAATAACAAAAATCAAGGTACCCTGGATTAATCAGCTTCCCTGTTGGTGGACACAATCCCTGATTCTGGTAACTTTTAGGAGAGGTTTCTTTCTTTTTCTTTTGGTATTGGGGATTGAACTCGGGTCCTTGTGTTCTAAGGCAGGTGGCAGAACCACTGAACTAAATCCCCGGCCTTAGGAGAGGTTTAACTTGGCTCGTTTTTTAAGGTGAGTCAGTGTGTGGTCAGCTGACTCCAAGTTGAAACTTCATGGCAGAAGAGCATGATGGAGCAAAGCTGTTTAGTTCGTGGTAGTAGGAAAGGAAAGCAAGTGAACAAGAACAGAGTATAAGCAGGAGAGACCAGCGGTAGCCTCCCAAGGCCATGCCAGAAGACCCACCCAGGTACACTCAGAAATGTGCTCCACTCAGCACCTGGGCAGATCCCAAGCCAGTCAAATTGAGGTTCTGCCATAACTATTACCACCCCCCAACCTGTAAACCATAAACTCCTTTTAGGTTATTGTAACAACGTGAGGAGAAAAATGACAGACTTAGAAAATATTTGTAACACATTTAAGTGAAACATTGTATCTTTACTATAAAGAGCCATTCAAGTGGATTTAGAAAAAACTGTCTCAGTAACAAAATGGGCAAAGAACAAGAACAGATGAAGAACAAAAGAAATACCCATTGATAATAGATATATAAGTAGATATTTAACATCATTTATAATAAAAGAAATTTAAAAATAAAATGTAAATACCCATAGCTGTGAGGAATACGGGGAAGTGACCATTCCTAGACATTATTTGGTGGAAGTTTAAATTTGTATAGGCCCTTTTTGAGGTAAATTGTAATATGTATCAAAATTATAATTATGTATACCTTTTGATCCAGCACTTCTATTTTTGTGAGTTTATCCTCAAGAAAAATTTGTATATACATGCAGAGATACATGTATTATGAATATGCCTCCCATACTAGTGAAAAATGATAATATTTTTAATACTTCCAAATAATATTTAATATTTATAAGTAGAATTTATTTCAGGTATCTTCCATCTTCCCAATTTTTTTATTGAGGCAAAATACATATAACACAAATAGTAGCTAGTATCTTCAGTCTAATGTTCTCCCAACGGATCTATCTCAACTGCCTAAATATTAGCATCTTTACCATTTTCAAGTGTACAGTTTAGTGGCAGTCATAATATTGTGAAATCATCGACACTATCTCATGTCTAAAGTTTTTTCTCACAACAATAATTCCACATTCTTTCTTCTTAGCCCCTAACGGCAGCTATTGTTTTTTTTTTTTTTTTTACTTATAAACTTGACTACTCTAGAATACTTCATATAAGTGGAACCCTATAGTTTTTGTTTAGTTTGCATTTTACTTAATATAACATCCTTAAATTTCATCCATGTTGCAGTATATGTCAGAATTTATTTCCTTTTTAAGTCCTGAAACCATCAGAGATAATTTTTTGAAAAAATTATTTTTCACATAAGTAAAGTAGCTCCATATGGTTCAACATGAGGAGAATTGAGAGGAGGAGCAGATGGGGAATGAATGCTAATGGTAAGAGGTTTCTTTAGAGATGATAAAAATGTTCTAGAATTAGATAGTGGTGATTGATGTACAACTTTCAGTGTGCTGAAGCCACAGAACTGTACGCATTAAACAAGTGAACTTTAGCATGAGAATTATATCTCAAAACGATTTTAAGAAGTTCAACAGGAATAAAATAAGCAACATCTTAAAATTTGTCTTTCAATTATCATTTTTGTAAATGAAAATTACCATTAACCATTTTGAATAAATTTCCAGAAATATTTTGTTTTTTATATTTAAAAAAATAGTAAATTGTATTTTAAAATTTCCTGTTGTATATAAAATGTTTCCCAAGCCGGGAATTTGGCTCAGTGGTTCTGCCACCTGCCTTGCAAGTGCAAGGACCCGAGTTCAATCCCCAGTACCAAACACAAAACAAAAATAAAATGTCCCTCCAAAGAATCATGTATTGTGAGCTTGATCCCCAGTAAAGCACTGTTGAGAGGTGGGGCCTATAGAGATAATTGAATCATGAGGGTGCTATCCTTATTATTGCATAAATCATTGATGAGTTCATTAGCTGAATGGGCTGTTAGGAAGTGGGGCTTAGTTGGAGTAAATAGGTCACTGGGATGTTTCTTTGAATGGTATGTCTTCTTGAGCTTTATCTTTCTCTGCTTCCTGGGTGCCATAAAGTAGGCCACTTTCCTCACTGATGACCTTCTGTCATGATATTCCTGCCCTGAAACCAGGTGACCTTGTACTAAAACCTTTGAAATTGAGGCAAAAATAAATACTTTTCACTTTTAAGTTGTGTATGTGAGATATTTGGTCCTGGCGATGAAAAACTGACAATACAAAAATTTTCTACAAAAATGATAGCAAATTAGTGTTCTACACCCAAGTAGACTTTTCTAAAGTTTGTTTCTTTTAGTTTTAGATAAAGGTAGGTCTTTTTCAAAGCTTTTGTACATACGGAGGGGAGAAGGTTGGAGGGGGAATGGGATAAAATAAAATAAAATTTATAAAAACAGTAGGTCTTTTTTCAAGTATTATCAACTTACTGTGGGAGATTTAGACCATACAAAAAAAGAGTAACAAAAATCAAAAGCCACACATACCCAGAGACAGCCATTGGTGGTTGTTTCCATAATTGTAGAATTTCTTTGCATGTATGCACTTTTTAATATGAGAATTGGATCATTCATAATTGTTATTATATAATCTTTTGTTTTGTATTTCTACTTTTTGTATTTCTACATAGTTTATTGTGACCATAGTTTTTTAAAAAAATAAGTATAAGTTTATATTGGGATTCTCATGATGCATAAATTGTGTGATATTTGTCACTTAGCCTATCATCTATTAATATTCTTTAGATTCTAGTTTTGTCATTATGAATGAGTATCTTTGTATTTACCTCTTTGTATACTTGCCAGTAGTAAGTCTACACTCTGTAGTCTACCAAAAATTTTTAAAAGGTGTAGTTTTAAGCACAGACCACATAGATTTCCATGATATTCTGTGAAAAGGTAGTACAGATATTTATAATAAGGGGAATCTGAAATCCAGAAAATTTGTTTTATGTCCAAATTTCATAGCTAGTCAATGTGAGTGCTGGGACCTAAACTTGCCTTCTGATTGAGTTGTTTTCTTTCCACTGTGGTACACTGCCATACTGAATATAAGGAATAGTTGATACACTACTGTGATTGAGTATAACAAATGATCTTTTATTGTTGTGTTTGTATTATTAAAAATAAGATTCTTGTTATAATATCCTTTTGGAATTATTTGTATAATGTATTGAAATAATTCAGACTAAAGAATCATATACCTTTATGAGGGATATTAGCTAAAGATATGTCCTCCTAAATATTTTAGTTGATTTGCATCACCATCTTCATTTAATTATTCACATGTACTTTGATCTATATAAAAAGCTCAGAATTTTCTAAGCATCAGGTTATGTTACTTGCCTCCGGATGGTAGTAGTTTCAGTGGATTATGCTTATTTAAATGACATTTCTATCTCTGAGATCTGGAACAACTTACTGAAACCTTCTAAAGCTTAATGTTTTTGTCAGTAAAATTGAAATTAATAGTATATATGTAGGTTATCAAAAGTAAACAAATTCACAGAATCAAGGAATATGATGGTGCTTCACAGGAAGAGAGAAATAGTTACTAATTAATTATGCTTAAATTTTCCATTAAGCAGGCTAAATAAACTGTAAAGATGTACCTATAATGAATAATACTGTATTATGCACTTAAAATTTGTAAGGAGGACAGAGTTCACTTTAAGTGTTACTCCTGGAAAAAGGTATGTATATCATAATGAAGACTAAATGAATTAACATGCATAAGGTGTAAAGTGCTCTGCACAATCTGTTATATACAAACCGTACCTTGAATGTTAGTGTCTATTAAAGTTTACAATAAGTCATTTTTTATATCCTTTATATTTATTGGTGAAATTATTTGGAATGCTGTGTTCATATTCCTGTGGATTTCTCCTGACTTTTCCCTCTCTACACCTTTAGTGCCTGTGTAATACCTTCTGTTAATTTTGAACAGTATTTTTATTTTATTATGGCTGTGCAAAGTGAGAAACTGCATATACTTATTTTGCTTCCTGTTGGGAATAAGGACAAGTTAAATTAATGACCTTTTATAGATTATCTCAACCATATTTTAAGAGACTGTAAAGCAGAATAAGGTGAATCCTAATTTCTCTGCTGCAGATTTCTGAGAGCTCTTTTAGCTGTTTTCAGCTCTTCCTGAGGAGGATACAGCTTCTCTGTCTTTGAGGAGGAAAAGCTGATTTGGGGCTTTTAATTTTGCTTCTAGCACATGCAGATGACGATCCAGGCTCTTCAGGACGAATTGCGGATCCAGAGGGACTTGAATCAGCTGTTTCAGCAAGACAGTAGCAGTAGGACTGGTGAACCTTGTGTGGCAGAGTTGACAGAGGAGAACTTCCAGAGGCTGCATGCTGAGCATGAGCGGCAGGCTAAAGAGCTGTTCCTTCTACGGAAGACTCTGGAGGAAATGGAGCTACGTATTGAGACTCAGAAACAAACCCTAAATGCTCGGGATGAGTCTATTAAGAAGCTTCTGGAAATGTTGCAGAGCAAAGGACTTTCTGCCAAAGCTACTGAGGAAGACCATGAGAGAACAAGACGGCTGGCAGAGGCAGAGATGCATGTCCACCACCTAGAAAGCCTTTTGGAGCAAAAGGAAAAAGAGAACAATATGTTAAGAGAGGTGAGTGACCACTTTTTCAGTTCTTAACCATTTACTGTCTTTTTTTCCCTTGTTAATCAGAATCCTGGCCTAGATAAATTTATATGCTTTGCTATGCTACTGGATGAAAAAATTTTCTTTTGTTCATTGATTTCTCTTCTGATTCATTCTCTTGTCTGTGATGACATCATCTGGTATATATATGATCGCTCAGTAACTTTCTGGATCCCAAACTGTCTCCCCTATACCCTAATTTCTAGAGGCCCATTTATTTCTAGAGTGGCAGAAATTTTTCTTGGTTTGTTAATCACTTCTACTTTTTTTTTTTGGTACTGGGGATTGAATTTGGGACTTTGTTCTTGCGAGGCAGGTAGTGGCACCACTGAGCTAAATCCCTGGCCCTGTTAATCACTTCTTCTAGATTCATTCATAGAGACAGTAAAACCAGAATCAGAGTAGCTATCTCTACTCAATTCTAAAATATTAATAAAAGGAAGTAAGCTATTACCTCAGTTTTGCATATTTAAAGTCCATTACATGATTATAGTAATGGGTGTTTGCACTGTGGTTTCCATGGAACTGTTGCCTTGCTATAAAAGATGTATGATAAAAATCATCTGCTGCTCAGTAGGCACAGCTAGAAAGGATGATGTAGAGATGCATTGTTATAGAACAAACCTAGTCTTGAGCTGGCTTCTGTTACTATTGCTACCTTTTCACTTTTCTAGGTAATGCTTCATTTTAAGGATACAAAGGAAGAATTTTCTTACATTGGATTAAATTAATAGCTATAATAACTTTTCTAAGTAATCACACTTAAGATGTGGGGAAAATTGCCTAACTATATTAGTATGAATCTGAGTAATTTTAAAAAATCATGAGGAAGTCAATTTGAAAAATATTTCCAAGGCAGCAAAATAATAATTGACAAAATGCTTATAAATTTGTAGCTTGATCCATAATTTCTCTTTTTGTGAAAAAATAATCTGAAATGTTTTTTTATAGCTGGGGTATTTTTATTTTTGAGGAACCTTACGGTTTTTTAAAAACACCTTTTCACTGTGCAGAAAATCCATAATAATTAATCACTGTAAACATAGAAGATAGATTAGCAAAAAATAAAACCTATGGTTTCATTATTTAGTACTAGTTATTAACTTTGTTATGTCAATATTTGTAGTCACTTTTATTTATATATTCTTCCATTATATTTCTGTTTTGAGAATATAGAATACTATGTCAGTAGTTTACACTATTACTTTCTTTAACAGTGGAAATGTTCTGTATCTGACATGTCTGATACAGTAGCTACTAGCCACATGTGACTGTGTGTGGGGTGTGTGTGTGTGTGTGTGTGTGTGTGTGTGTGTGTGTTATTGGGGATTGAACCTAGAACCTTCACACTGAGCTACATTCCCGGTCTCCCTTTCCTTCCTTTTAAAAATTGTTTTATTTTGAGTCAGAGTGTCACCAAACTGTTAAATTGCCCAGGCTGGATTGATTCAAACTTGCAGTCCTGCCTTAGTCTTCTAGAGTGCCTGGATTATAGATGTGCACCACTATGCGCAACTACGTGTCGCTTTTGAGCAGTTTAAATATGTCTTATGGGACTGAGGAAATGCATTTATTTAAATTTATTAAATGTAATTTATAAAGTAAATTTGTGTACATATAGCAAGTGGCTACTGTGTTCAGAGGTGAAACTATGGGTAGTGTAGTATCAGCTGCTTTTCTTTCTTTCTTTTTTTTTTTTTTTTTTTGGTTTTTTGATACAGGGTCTCACTAAATAGTTGAGACTGGCCTGAAACTCACTATGTAGCCCAGACTGGCCTCGAACTCACAGCGATCCTCCTGCCTCAGCCTCTGGAGTGCTAGGATTACAGGCGTGCGCCACCACACCTGGCCTACCTGCTTTTCTTTTTTTGCCTTTTGTCTCACTATATAGTTTAGATTGGCCTTGAACTCACTATATAGCCCAGGCTGGCCTCAAACTCGCAGCCATCCTCCTGCCTCAGCTTCCTGAGTGCTAGGATTACAGGAATGCACTACCATGGCTGGCCTTTTATTCTTTATTCTTTCTTTCTTTCTTTCGTTTTTTTGAGACAGGGTCTCACTATGTAGTTGAGACTGACCTGGAACTCACTGTGTAGCCTAGGTTGATCTTGAACTCACAGCAATCTTCCTGCCTCAGCCTCCCCCAAGTGCTGGGATTACAGGTGTGTGCCACCATGCCCAGCCTGGCCTTTTATTTTTTAAAAAGCATTTTGGAGTTAAATGCTGAATAACTAAGGATTGTTAAAATTCACAGTGTGATTTTGGCAGAAAACAATCAGAAGTATGGTGAATTTGAAAAAGTGGGGAAAAAATTCTCAGACTGAGATATATATACCATTATAAAAAAAATTTTTTTTTTTTGTACCGGGGATCGAACTCTGGTCCTTGCACTTATGAGGCAGGTAGCAGAACCACTGAGCTAAAATCTCCAGCCCTATATGTTGTTTCTTTTTTGGTTTGTTTTGTGATAGGATCTCTCTATGTAGTTCAGGCTGGCCTTGAACTCATTATGATGTAGTTCAGGTTAACCTCGAACTCATAGCAGTCTGTCTTCCTTCCTCAGCCTCCCAAGTGCTGGGATTACTGGTTTGCATTATCACATTTAGCTTTCAGACTGATTTTTATAAACAAGAATTTCTACAAATACTGAATCTTACTTATACATACAATGTGGGAATAAGTAAAAGCCTTACCAGTTATACCAGTATACAATTCCATATTGCTGTTAGTAATGTAGCACCATCTTATATTTCAGTTCTTCTGTAAAGTTTTCCTTGTGTAGTTTTGTGTTTGTAGGTAGTTCTGATTGTAGTACAGTATACCTATATGTCTGTTTATTCATTGTTCATTAATATTTTGTGCTGATGGTGTGTATTTTATGTTAGGGCTGCTGTAACCAAAATACTGTGGATGAGGTAGTTTATACAACAAGTATTTGTTTCTCTTGGTCCTGGAGGATGGAGAGTTCTAAGATCAAGACACCAATGTTTGGCGAAGACCTGCTCCCTGGTTCATAGAGAACCATCCTTCTTACAATGTCCTCATATGGTGGGAAAGGGCAAGAGAGCTTTCAGAGGCCCATTCATAGGGACACTAGCTTTCAAACCTAGTTACTCATTTCAAGGTAGAACTTTAGTGGTACATAACTGTACATTGCCAGTGCCTAACAAATGTACGGTATTTGTTATTAAGTATAAGTTGAATAAGTTAAAAAATGTAGTTAAAGGTATTTAAATCTGGAGCTTACAGAAAGAAAGACAGTCTTCCTGTACTCCCTGCCCCCCATAAGTATAAGCACTGAGTAACAAATGCTGATGAAGGTTAAAATACAAATGTCCAAGCTGGGTGAGAGGACATGTAACTGTAGTTGCATCTACTTGGGAAGCTGAGGTGGAAGATTACTTGAGTCCAGGAGTTAGAGGCCAACCTGGACAACATAGGAGACACCCAATCTCAAAAAACACCCCTCCAAACAAGTTTTACCATGAGTTTAGATGTAGAAATTATAAAGTATTAAATAATATCATGACTATGATATTACTATATCACTAGAAGCTGTTCATTTTAGGAGTGCCAGGATTGCTCAATGTATTATACACAATTATGATTTGTTTTAGGTGAAAAGGAAGAGAACCTCATAGTATTTGATAGCTGTCTCAAGGACATTTGTTAAAATGTTACACATTTTAACAATCAGACCAAAGAAAATCATAACAAAATAAGAGTTGAATGATATTTTTATAGCTTGGTTTATATATAGATATTTTTTGGGTACTGGAGATCAAACTTGGGACCTTGCGCTTGCAAGGCAGGCAGTGGAATCACTGAGCTAAGTCCCTGGCCCTATAGCTTGGTTTAAATAAATAACAGTATAGTAAATTCATATTTTAAATGCATATTTCAAATTAATAACATTATGCTACCTAAGGATAAGTAGATATGCCCACTGAAGTTAGGAAAAGGTCATTTAAATTATTTTGGAAGTGGAGGTAATGCAAGTAGGTAAGGGAAAAGCAATAATAGTAATGGAAAAAATGGACCTAATTTTTCATTATTGTATATGTACAAACTGCTATAAATAATGTGTTTCCCTCAGTCTGTAAATTTAATGAAAATACTCTTAAAGCATGCTCAAGTGATTTTGCATTTTATATGCAAGAATTACCTGATCAAATCATGATACATGCATTTAAAATCCTTTGGAGCAGGTGTATTGGGCATCCCTATAATTCCAGCTAGTCAAGAGACTGAAGCAGGAGGATAATGAGTTCAAGGTCAGCTGTGAAAAATAGTGAGCTCTCATCTAAGGAAAGAATGGAGGGGTGGGTGAAAGGAGAGAAAAGAGAAAAAAATCCCTTGACATTAAAATGTGTGGTATAGGCACAGAAATATATAACCCGATAAGAAACAGATCTAAGTATTTAATGAATACTTGGGATAATACCATCATTTGGAAAACACTAAAATGATAAACCTTTCTGTTGGAATTTATTTGGAGATTTTTTTTCCCATTTCATTTTATCACATAAAACGATGTTGTGTTTTACAACTAGTGGCATTTTAGATTTGATTAAATATTGTAACATTAAAATAGCACTTGTATCTGGTAATATTTTTGATATTACAATTTTTTAATGAACGTGATTCTTTATATAGCAAGTAAATAACTCTTCTTCCCCACCCTGCAATTCTGGCCGGGGGGATAAAATTTGGTTGGAGCATTTGTTTTTCCTGTCATGTAGCCCCTTTCTTTTGATTGATGGGAGCTTGAGGACATCTATTGGACAAATGCTGAATTACAGGCCACATTTGGTTACTGTTTAAGGCATTGGCATAGGAAGTTTTAAAAAGTTTTATGTGATTGTGTTATATACTAGACTTTGAGACCTAAACTTTGATTCTTAGTTTTTTGGCAAAAGATAGTTAAGTTGGCCATGCAGATTTTTGGTTTTCAATTCGTATGAATA